CTCGTGTTCTTGTCGTGTCTCGTACAACGGCAAACTCCTAGACAAACCGGTTCACCGTTGGGGTGGGATGCCGCACATCAACGGCAAGGGACCCTTTACAGTCGTGGCCCTAGCGGCTTACAACCTATCCCCGATCAGCTGGTCGCCCTGAAGAGCTGAAGGATGGCAGGCTTGATGAACTCGGGCCTCATGAATGTCAAAGCAGTGTCGATACTCTGCAGCTGGAGGGGACGTGCGAGTGCAGATGTGCCGGCAACCTGATAGTTGATGCCACGCGGCATTGGTTGACTCTGACAGGTGGACGTCCCTTGCCAAGCGGAGCGACATTGCAGACTGTTGCCGCTGCATGGACTTGTCGATGCCGCTTGGTTCGGCGTTGGAGCATTGTTATTCGCTTTCCGGCGCTTCGTCCTCTTGGTTCCTCAGGGCCTGAAGTCTTGACAGGCGGTTGCCATCATCACGGCCCAATCAGACATCTGACAGATGGAGATCGGTCGTTTCTGAGGATCTGCCGGCGAGTGCCCGGCGAGTGCCGATGGAATGGTGTTCCTGTGAGCTTCATCAAGCACGTAACGACGCACAGATTTCCCTCATGCACCGCTGGCTGGGGATGAGGAACACGCGTGCAAACCTTGGCAGCCATGATGACGAGGAGCAGTTTTCTCGGCAGTCTGGATTCTGAATTCTGGATTCATGCAGTGGACATGCGCGTCAGTCAGTCCGGGGAATGTCATGAGTTGTCATTTGAATTTGATGGGCAGTGTCAATCAGATAGACGAACGTCTGAGAGGTTGAAGATGGACGTTTGAAATAAACTCGCAGCTGTCGCGCCAACGCTACATTAAAAAGTGGACACCGCTGATCCTTCTGGGACCCACTCCAGCCCAGTGCACTTGACGCTAAGATGATCGATTCACTCTCGGCCAGCGCGGGATGACCAAAGGGGAAGAACCCCTTGTCAGGCAGTCCACCTTCCTCCTCGACACCTCGAGCAATAGTCCCTCCATCCTGCCATCTACAAACACAGTTTGGCACCAGATTTGAGCTCAATAGAAACACGAAGCTTTCCGTCTCGTCGATTTGGTTACAACTTACCTTTCTCGAATACGATCCACCAAACCTCTTGACGACGGAACGCGAACAAGATTACTAGTCCTCAGTCAATCTTCAGTCAACATTCGTCGTTCGGTTAGAATTGACAACCACCGCCTTCTGCAGGACGTTTTGCCAGGCATTGCCCGCGACTGGATTACCCTTTCGGGTTCGGGCTGAACCGGATGAAACGATCCCATCGCCTTTGATGACGAAGCAACTCCACGCCGTCAAGTGTCGCGTGTGGGTGGGCAAGCATCCGATTACCATACCGCTGGAACCGCCGACTCAGACAAGACTTACCTGTCCTGCCGTCCGACTCAATGAGAGCCGTCTCTACCCATGGGCCAACGGGTCTCTTCCCGTTTATCCATTGGCCTAATTAGCCCCGGTCCGGGTCTATGGGAGAGGCTTCGTCAACACCATGACGCGCTCCGCCCCGCGGGATCTAGACACTCCGCCATGTTCCCTGCTAGGGATTTTCTTTTTTTTTTCTTCCACTCACTGTCTGTCAAGTTCCTCTCGATTCGCCGGAGCCGGGGCCGGAACCGATACTGTCATTTAAGTCTGTTCCCCTCGCAGGACCTAACGGCTGCCTGCCGGTCTGCGGTCAGACTTCGGCGACCCTTTGCTATGAACCACCTTTGTTTGAATGTTTGGACCAAAGAGACTTATGCCAAACTCCTAGTGGCTGGGCATACATGCGTGCTGGAGAAGATTCAACGAAGATGTCCTTCCAGGCCACCAACATGCTGGCGCGCACAAACACATACGCTGACTGACACCTGTCTGAGGTGCCATTTATCGACCGGCTTGCCGAAGAGCCGGGTTATCCCCCGGATGATCGACGCCAGGATCGTCGCCGTTGCTGATCTCTCCTCGCACATTTTGTTTGCCGTCTCAAACATTGTGCGCTCGAGCACCGATGGGAGCACCCTTGATCGACTGCAGTCCGCGCCTCGTCAGGGCTTAGCGGCGCATGAAACAAACCTTCGGGGAGGCCAGACAACAACGTATACACCATCCGCCTAATCTCAGACCACCAGAGATCGTCCTCCGCCAACGGCGCGATCCCGCTCGATCGTTAGAAGTTTTCCCATTCGCTAATGCGTCGAATAGGCGCTGTTGAGTTTCGCAGGCGTCCCATCGGTGATCCAGCCCTTCCGTCGTTCTGTTGCCAACCAGGCATTGGGCTGCTAATCAACCAGCCCTGTACCGCGGATTCCCACAATTTTGCCTGCAGTTCGTCGCTATGACATAGTGGTGTTCTTCTTTTCCCTCCCGCTTGATCTACCGGCCCTCGCCTTTTGGTCTAACCCGAAAGGTTGACCTCGGAACCTGTGTTTTTGGGACGTCGGAACCAAAACTTGTGAAAAAGAGCTCGGCCCCTCATACCCTCCGGAGTTGGTTCCTACGATCTGTTGAACAACGACACCGCTCTCAACATACCAAACACTATACTGCAACAATGGTAAACACCGGCAAGCCATCTGGTGGCTGCAAGCTTTGCAGGGCCAGGAGGATCAAGTGTGATGAAGGCAAGCCATTCTGCATGCGGTGCAAAAAGTCCAGGCGTCAGTGTCCTGGCTACCGCGATCCTTTCGAGGCCAATATCCGCGATGAGACCGAGGCGACGATTAAGAGATTCAAGAAGTCGAGGGGTGAAGACAGCTCAGAGGACGAAGGCAAGGGCCCATCACCAGTCTGCAACAAGCAGTGCTTGACATCGGTGGCTGGGCCAAAATACAAGACGTTCGACTACTCGAACCCGGCTGCATTTCCGTTCCGCGCAGACGATGACTCGACCGAAGACGACGAAGACATTCCTGTGTCCCTATTTGACTCTCTCGACGAACAGGCCTCTTGCTACTTCCTATCAGAGTTCATCATTGTACCCTATACGCCCACTGCCAGGGGCTATTACCGTTTCCTTCCTCGGTTCTTGAGTCAACCGAACGTCTCCAAATGTCTCTCGCAAGCTTACAAAGCCGTGTCCTTGGCGGCTCTGGCGAGTCGACGAACCGTCAACGCAAGCTCTGCCTTATTTCACGCTCAGAACCACTATATGAGAGCTGTCAGGGCTGTCAACAAAGCCATCATGGACCCTGAGGAAGTGAAGAACGACCAAACACTTGGAGCAGTTCTCATGTTGGCGTTTTACGAGGTAAGCGCGTCGGATTGATATTTGAAGTGTTAAGAGGACTAACAAATAGATAGATTCTGACCGCATCTCGGAATTCCATTGCGGAGTACACCAACCACATGAAGGGAGCAGCCATTATTGTGAAACTCAGGGGACAGAAAGGACTCGAGACACCCGAAGGCGAGGAGATGTTCGCCATCACCAGAAACCAGTGCCTGTCAATTCACTGCCTGCCAAATTCACCAGAGGTAGCCGAGTTTACTTGGCTGCTTCACCACGAATGTCGCGGACGTATGCAACACGCCATCGCCAGCATGGATATTCAGAGCAGTCAAATCAGGCAGGACGTCGACAGAATCCTGGGTGCTGGGGACCGCAAGCCCGAGACGATTCAAAAGGTGCTTGACGCTCTCAAACGTGCCCAGGCGCTCGAGGCCAAGTTCCGCAAGCTTAACAATGACCCGAGCCCGCAATGGAAGGTTGATACTGTCGACTGGGTTATGGATCGGCAAGACAACGAACTCGATACGGCACCATCATTCAATGGACCGATCTACGGCTTCTTCAATCTTCCGCTAGCCATCTTGCACGTTGCCACATGGTGTTGCCATCTAATGTTGACAACCACCATCTTGCGTTGTATGGCTTGGCTGGTCGCACCAGATGACTACCGTATGGGAGAGGAGTACGAAGAGCTGAAGAGTTCGGCGATCTTGCGAATCGATGACACCATCGCCTCGGCACCCTTCTTCTGCAAGTGGAACGGCTACGGAGTCGTCGTGGCACAGTTTCCATGCGGACAAAACACCAAGCCAGATGATCCGCTGAAGGGAGCCGCTGGGCTCATGATTCTCTGGCCTTTGGTCACGGCTTACACCAGCGACTTTGCGACCCCGAGGCAGAAGCGGTTCTTGAGGGGCCGGCTCAAATACCTCGCTGACGTTGCTGGTATCAAGCAAGCCAACGTCTTCCTCAACGTAAGTTTGTCCACCACAGACAGCGGACTTCTGCTGACAAGCCGTAGATGCAGATGGAAGATGTGTCTTCGCCATCCAAAGAAATTGAGCGCGACCGTAGGCAAGGCGTTCAGCCCACTTCGGATGGTCTAGAAAGCCTGCGAGCGTTTCCGTTTTAAAGCATCTCTCTCACCGAGCGTGTCCATCTTTCACATTTTCATGGGACAAACCCGGTTTTTACACTCGGCGACTGAGCTTGGCATCAGCAGCAACACTCTCTTTTCACTTCTTGTACAGACGATTTTATTTCACACGCGTTACGACATGGCGGGCATGGGGCATGGGGTGCATCGGAGGAGGTCCTCTGGAGGAGTCTTCTTCTGTGGTGTTGGGGGCAGGCGGAGAATCCTGAAGCTCCCATGGGAGAATGTGGGTTCTGTTTATCTGGGTTTCTTCTTTTCCAGCCGGTTTATCATGTAGCGGGGGGTTTCTTCATTTTCTTGGACTGTCCAGACTTTCCTTCTCTTCACTGTTGATATATCGTTCCATGCCCTGGTTTCTGTTCCCGTTTCCAAACGGTCCTTCTAGACAGTTGTTGGCACGACTTGACGAATTTTGCATGGCTTGGGTTTTTGGGAATAGCACGATGGGACGACTTTAGCGGAATACAGACGAACTTCTTTCCTCAAAGACATCCCTGATACTATTGCATGACGCCTATCCCAGTGATCTGTCTTGATGCAGTGCAAACAAACCAACCCAACACGAAGAGAAAATCCAACATCCAACACTCTCGGCTAGAACCAACCTCACCTCCCGCGCCGTCCAACGCCGATCCTGTCCTCCCTCGTGCGGCCCCCACGGCCCCCGTCTCCCGGCGTCGGCGTCGTCTGCATCACAGCCGCACCCCGGCCCGGCTGTCCCAGCCGCTGCACCGGCGCCTGCTGCTGCTGCTGCTGTTGCGCCCTCATCATCTCGCTCTGCCGCCTGAGCAGCTCGGCCTGGTGCGCCTCGTACTCTGCGTACTCCTCGGCCGAGATGTCCGGGTCGTACGGCTGCTGCTGGCGCTGCGGCGACGATGATGGTAGTTGTCGCTGCTGCTGCTGCTGCTGCGCCTGGATCAGGGCCTGGCGCTCGCGGAGCATGGCCTCGCGCGCGCGGCGGTCTTCATAGGCTGCGATGTCCTCTGCCGTGATGGAGAGGGTCGTTGCGGGGCGGCGGAGCATCTTGGTCTAGGTTGGGGGTTGGGTTGGGTGAGTGAGGTGAGGTGAGGTGAGGTGAGGTGAGGTGAAGCAAGGGGTTGACAAGTGAGTTTGTGTTGGTTGTGTTTTGCTAGGCAACAGACACAATATGATGCGGCGAGGTTTGGGGGTTTGGTTCCAACGTGATCCGTTACCCGTGACGCAGAAGCCTAACGCAACGTAACTCTGTGATGGAAAACTCAGTGGTGGCGATGTGAGGAGCAGTGTGCTCTCTTGGGTTTCCGTCGGATTAGGCAGTCGCTCAAGGTGCAGCTGGGTGAGTTTACACCTTCAGCCAGGGGACCCGCAAAGTCGTCCTTGCAAGGGGTTCTTTTTCTCTCTCTGCGAAGAAGCGGCGCGGGAATATGCGAGAAAGATGCCTGAGTCTGCGAGAGATAGGGCGAAGCGGCGTGGGGTCGTGGTGAAGAAAAGTGTATGCGTCAACGGGGGGGGGGGGGGGGCCGGAGCGCGGAGAGCTGACGATGCAGTTGGTTGTCGTGGGTCGTGTTGTTGGATTTTTTGCTCAGTTGTCGCTTTTTTGGCGCGTCGGCGGCGGCGAGAAAAACACCGCTGGAAATTCAGCGACAACGGGTCACCCAACCCCCGGTCCATTTCAGCCTGCCCCGTCCATCAATGTGCCCTCGCGTCTACCTAGCGTGCGGGTCTTGCCGGGGCGATCCGCGGTGGGGGGGGTCGGCACCGGGGGGGTTCAAGTGCTGGCTCACGCGGGCGAGGGGGCTGCCGGCGGCTGTGGCCAATTGGGGGCCGTTGGAGCGGGACAGTGTTGGCCGTACTGTATCATTATGTTGGGTGAAAGCAGCAGCAACAGCAGGCAGCGAGCAGGCAGCTCAGCCCTAAGAGAAACCCGTCATGGCTGCTACCCTCGGATTGTACCGCCCTGTGATCGGCGGCTCCAACCAGACTTTCGTTGGACTCTTTGCACAGAGGCGAAGATGATTGTCATGTGGCTAAGTGAAGGAAGAGAAATCCAGCGACGATCGAGACCAAAGTAGTTTCGATGGCAATCACATTGACACACAAGAGAGAATTCACATAACCAGAGAGAATTCAAATTATGCATTGTTTTCATTTAGATTCGTTCTACCCTGTAAATGATTGTCCCTTTACCTTTCATGCCCATGAACCTCGTTCCGTCGTAAATTTGTATGATGTCGTGTGCCTCCCGTTCTCAGTACACCCCCGTAGCGTAGACGTGCTCCGCCTCCCATCGCAGGAAATCGCCCAGGTCGTGCCCGAGGTTGTACCCCATCGGCACCACCTCCGCCTCCCCGTCCGTGCCCCTCACCATGACGAGGTCCATCATCGGGCTGGGCGGCAGGCTCTCGATGCTCTCGCGGTTGTACCGCTTGGGGTGGCCCTCCATCGTCCACCGCCGGATGTTGCACCCCTTGGTGAGGAACTTGGACGCGTCGAACTTGCCCTCGTTCCAGAACCCGCTCGGGTGCTCAAACTCCACCGGGATCGGCAGGTTGATGTCCGTCGAGACCGACGACATGGGCGAGTACTCGGACGCCGTCGTGCTGGCGCTGACGCTGGCGGGGCTGGCCAGTGCCGCTGCGGCGGCGGCGGAGGAGATGAGCAGGCCGTGGTGGTCGAAGCCGAACTCCTCGAACCAGTCGACCAGGTCCGCCGTCTCTTCGGCCTCCGACCGCTGCGAAAAGTCCGACGGGTCCGAGAAGAGGTCGCCTGCGCCGCCGAGGATGGCCATCTGGAATGCGGTCCAGTCCAGGGTGTCGTCCGGGTCGATCTTCATGCCCTGGGCGACGTCGGACTTGGGAAAGCGGATCTGTCCGTGGCGGAGGTTGGGGTGGTTGAGTGTGTAGTTTGTCGACTGGAGGAAGACGAAGTCGTCCTCGTCGACGGGGGCGAACGTGCGCGTCGGCTGTTTCTGCGTCATGTCTGAATATGTCGTCGTGTCCGGTGTCGTGATGATCACCTCTGGTATCGTGGGTAGCTGTGGTGCCTGCGGCCGGGGCGCGAACCTCAGCGGGTTCTTCGCCGGCGGAGGGGGAGGGGCGGCCATGTCGTCAATCTCCGCGGTGTCTCTGGTCGTGGAATCTCTGGCGGGTGCGGCGGCGGGCTTCTTTCGCCGCGGGGACTTCTCCTTCACCGAGAAGCGCCGTCGCACGGCTGGGTCGAGGGGCTTAGAATGTGACACGGTGTCGCTGGATGTAACCACCATGCCAACACCTGCCGCTCCTATCCGGCGGGGCAGGTCTTGGAGATGGAAAGGCTCGACGGGTGTCTCACTACCGTCCGTGTCGACTGTCCTCGCGGTGTCGCTCGAGATCCGAGCCTGAGTCTCTCGGCCGGCCCTCAAGGCTTGGAGGTGGTCTGGTGAGAGTAGCTCGTTGACCTCCATCTTGCGGAAGAACTGGCCGCTGAGGATGTCGACGACTTCTTCTCCGAGCTGCCATCGAGCGTTCTTCTTGGACCGTGACTTTGATCGCTTGACCTTCTTTGACTTCTTCCTGCGGGGTCTGGACGTTGAAGAACCTGATACACTGCGGACTGGGGGGGGTAGGGGAGGAGTGCTGTTCGCAATGGCGTGAGGCTTCGTTGACCACATGAGAGGCGAATCCATGTTGGCGATGGTAGGAGATGATGGACGCCTCGTCTCTGGGGTGTTGAAAGACGAGACGGCGACCTTGGCTTCTTCGATGGCTGTCCCTACGGCCTTGAATGCCTCGTCTGTTTCTCGGATGAGGTCTTGAACATTTAGTGACCAGTCATCCGGGCTGTTGTCTGTTCGTGACGCTGAGCTGGCAGGGGTTCCTCTCAGCGCAGGATGTTCTCGCGAGGTCCTAGACTTGGTGTCATGTTGTGTTTGTAAAGGAGCGATGCAAAGATGTCTCCGGTCCGCGAGACGTTTTGGTGCCGTAGAACGAGACGCTCGAGGCGGCGGCCGCGGCGGACAAAGAACGGCATCTCTGCTGTTCGTCGAGGCTGTATCTGTATGACTCTGGGAGCTGCACAAAGAGCTGGAGGACGAGCTGGGTGAAGGCTGAGGCAAGGGAACGGCTTCGGTCGAGGTCCTCTTGATGCTTTGTGTCCTTCGTACGAGGGTGTCCTCCCTCGATGGCCTGCGGGCCTTGGCGTTGGATGGACGTCTGGCCGGCGCCCATGAGTTAAACTTTTGTTGTTGCTGCTGCTTACGTCGGGACTTGAAGATGAAGAGGTCCTCGCTCGCGGCCGAGTCCTCCGAGTGGCGACGTTCCTCCTCGGCGTCGACCGCCTGCGAGCGGCGAGGCGAGATGAACCTCCGGATGCTGAAGCTCGATCGAGACATCCTGATGGGGAGCTTGGGCGTACAAAGGGGATCATGCAGCTGGTCGGGACAGTATGGTTCTATATCGACTGGTACATTGACATATATGAGGGCACGAAGGGGTGAGGGGGGCGCTGTCTCTTTGGGGGCCTTTAACGAGTGACGTGACCGAGAGCAAGACCCTTCAACCCAAGGGAAAGAAACAGGACAAAGAGGAAAGAGGGATGGAGGTCATCCGCAGGCAAGGGCAAAGGCCGCGAGGGTTGGCTGTATGTATGTTGTTCTCGATCTGCAAGTACACAGTATCACAAATAAAAGCAAGCGAGCCGGGGGCCATGTTGGGCCAGCTGATATGTATGGTTCTGTCTGCCTGCCTGGCTGTCGTCCGTACGGGTACAGTGTATGTCGAGCGAGCGCAGGCGTTATCCGGAGGTCCATGGCAGACAAGCCGCAGGGTGGTAGTGGAAGTGGTCGATGGGAATGGTGCGGTGCGAGCTGCGGCGGTGCAAGAAGCCAATGCGATCCCTGTCTGGTCGTGCAGGCAAACTGCGAGAGGGCGGAGGCTTGTAGGGTTCGTGTGTCTTGCCCATCGGCCTGGGGTGGAGGTGGTTGACTCTTCCCGGCTCCTCTCGTTATTTTTGTCCCGCTTATTGGCTGTCTCTGCCGGCAGGTTGCTATTACTGGCCCGTTATGTATGCCTCTGCAATGGACATTTTCCTCGAGGAGGGGGGGGGGGGGGCGGGAGACTCTCGTCGGGGGTCGTTTTTCTGGTTTCCTGGCTGGCTCGTAGTGGTGGGCGGCGGGCGACGACGGCCCGGGGGGGTGACATTGCATGCGTTCATCGCCGGTTCTTCCAGGCGTGAGAGATGTGATTGTTACAAAGATATGAATTCCAGATAGACTGCTTTGCTGTTAAGTTTGGAATACCTCGCCGCCGCTCTGCCGTCGTTTCCATGGTTCTTGCCGCCCCCCCGCCCCGGCTCACAGAGCCAGCCAGCCCATCGTGCAGTCAGCCTTATGGAGGAGGAGGGGTTGCGTTGCTTGACGCGCCGTCGTAGCTATCGAGCAATATGGAACATCGCGGCCGACGTAGAGTGACGGATCAGCTCAGGATCAGCTCCGCTCGTCGCAATTGGAGGCGTATGTCGCACCGCGAAGAGAGACCATCGGTCACCTGCAGGCCTGAGAGAGATGCGACTCGAGGACTTCCTCGCTGTGCGACGACGCAGGCGGCGACGTGCAGTGATGGGCGACCAGTGGGATTCCCATCCGGTCCGGCTCCCTGGCAAGGACTCGCTAGCTCTTGTCCACGAGTTCAACTTGCGAAAGTAGAAGCAGGGGAGAGAAAGACTGTCGACTAGTAGAGCCTGACAATAGACGCAGCTTGCGCTCAGCGAGGTGCGGCATTCACCCAAGAGTGGCCCCAGCGGTGACAGGACAAGGGAGCCATGGGAACCGGACAGCGCCCTTGCTGCGTCTATGCAGCGACTGACGATGCCACAATGTTGAAAAGGGACATGCTAGCACCAACGCAGCAGATGCAAACGACTGACGGACATTTCTGAAATGACAGATTGACACGTCCAACTGCCGGGAGTTATCATCATCTAAGGGTTCAGCACTTGCTGGGCCTGCGGTAGAGACAGCAGCGGCGGCAGCTTACCTGCAATCTGTCAATAGCAAGGCGATTGATTGTTCCCGGATCAACATGCACGTAACGTAGTCCTGCTGGGCGGCCAAGCTACAGGGGGGTTGAGATACTACCTTGCTGAGGTCTTCCACGCTCCCTACCAAGAAGGGCTTTAACAGCAACAGGCAGACAGACAAACCCAGACGTGCTAGTGTCATTCAATCAATTTGTTGCCGGGACTGCTTGTCGATACGGAGCAAAGCAGATCATTGCAGAGCCTCTAGGACCGAATGAGGGGTTGGACGCGAACCGGGGCGACGATGACTGGGCAGGCGCGGGTCGGAAGCAAAAAGAAAAAGAAAAGATACTTGGAAGAAAAAAGAGTCCGCAGTGGCCGCATTTCTCATGCGCCTTCCCGGTGACGCGATCTGGGATTTTGACAAAAAGACCATGGGTGGTAGTGGCAGAGGGGACGGGGGCCTGTTTCATACCCAAGCAATTCCAAGAAGATGTTTTCCCAGCGGAATAATCCAAGGTGCAAGTCGGTCCGGCAAGGTGTCGACAACAGACTCGGCCAGACAGGCTAGAGCGAAAAGAGGATATCGACGGGACCTGGGATTTGAGAAAGACGTGGGAAGACGGGGCGGTCGACTGCTTCCCCGGCCGTCGGCCGTAAGCAAGACACGGCGAACCCACGAACCCTGGACCGACGACCTATGCCCGGTGACGTTGACGATGGACTGTTGTTGGTTCCATTGGCTGGGATGAGCCGGTGAAGAAGCAAAGGAACTCGTGTTGAAAGTGAAGTGCGCCGCCCCCATTCAGCAGTTGGCTGTGTTGTGGTTATGGTATGGCTAAGGAAACATGCAGAGGTTGGGTCAACCTGCTCTCCTCGAGTTGCGAATAAGTTGACCTGACTGAGTGACTGCCTGCCTGCCATAACCCCCCCACTGTGCCCCAACGGCGCCCTCTTTGCCTCTCCAGCTGACTTCTGCTCTGCCCTGTCACTGAGTCGAGAAGGTTCCTGGCCCTTGCAGGAACCGTCTTTGTGCCCTGGAGCTAGCGCGCGGGGTTCGGGGGCCAGTGGGTGCACCGGTGGTTCCTGACAAGGTGCCCGTCGATTCTGATGAATGAGCCTCGATCAGGTCTAGAGGCGACAGAGAGGAGGAACAATCACTCAATCCAACCCAACCCGTTCCAACCAACTATGATTCTAGAATTACCGACAAAGAAACAATCTCGGTCACTTTGCTTTTTTCTTCAACGCAAACTCTTCAAACCCACACATTTTGCCCACTCCAAACCCGATCGCCACGGCTGTCCCTCACCACGCCTGATTATCACCCCATCGAGCCTGCAACTTCCTTCATCCTAACCACCTTACTCTGTGCTGTTCTTCTGCGTGGTATGCTACAATTGCTGATGATTCACGAGCTACTCGCGTTTCCGTATCTTTGCAAAGTGCAGCAAGGCGCCTGAGTCGGCCCTCCGTCATATGCCCAGAACGCCGTTCTATTTCAGACCTCTTGAATGGAACATCGGCGGCCCAACCCCTGCTGCCCTCAACACCCCTGCCACTGTTGCTGCCGCTGCCGCCGTCGCCGCCGCCGCCGCACATGGGCAACAGGGGGGCCGTCAGCCCTCCATCTAAACACCTGGGCCTTTTGGCCTAGAATACCACCAGAATCTATATACCCAACTCCCCAAGAGAAACCTTAACCCCAATAAGGATGACAGGCATGGGAATGACAAGCAGGGGACGAGGACAAAAACTTGGTCGAAGCTGAACCGAAAGTCCGTCCGTCCGTAAGAACGAGTTCATATCCGCACAGCCAAAAAGAACGAACTGGACAGACAGCCTGCTGTTCTCTTGCTCACCGCAGTAATCAACACCCATGTCCCACGTGCCCCACGGTTCGCATTGAGGACTGAGACAGGCACAGTTGAATGCGTGCCGCCGACCCAGCTCTCTCCCATCTCCCAGTATTTGCTTTTTCGGCCGGTTGGCCCCCTCATGTTAAATGCCTGTCTCGGTGGTTTCGTAAGCCCCGTACGGATAGACGGTAGACTTGTTCTGTTTATCGGTGCCATACGGACGTAAGAAAAGGACTCCACCTTGGCAAACACGCGATCCTCACGACACTTTCGAGACATTTTGAGGTTTCCCGATCTGGCCGAGAAAGGTCCGCCTGCAGATACAAAAATCGTATCGAAATTTATACGAATCATATACGTCCGTTAGTTTCCACCCAATCTTTGCCAGTAGGCCTGATAGGCCGGCCCAGTGTAAGAGACGCAGAAGATGGAACAGGGCCGCCGTGGCTAGCAGATGGCGACTGACTCCTTGATCGGTGCCGTACGGATTCGTTTACAATAAACCCAGGAAAGAAAATACTGATTGGACCGATATGCACAGTAGAAAGGAATTTCATGAAACAAGTTTGATAGATAGGAACCGGGGAGCGAATCCGCCAGTCCCTTGTGGAGAGACCTTCTGCATCTTGACCATATTACCACAAGATCTGGATATATCCCGGCGCTTGCCCGTGCTGATTGTTCTCTTAATACTATCCTTGCCGCAAAGTCATCAGGCTATATGAAATTCAAGTAAAAATGGCTGCGACTGCCTCACGCCGGCTTAAGCGCTCGCTTGAATATGAGTAAGCACGGGAAGACACCGTGACATCGGCAAGTTCGTTTAACAATTATGGTATTCTCATCTCTATACGGCCGGGCAAAATGCTACTCTACAGTCGCAATTCTCATCCTCCTCGCTCCAAATCCCAAGCCAACGGGCCATTTCCCCTGGCCATGTGTAATCGGGTAGTGATAGAAATATCTCTCTTCCTCAAGAGATCTGCCCCTCTTCCCCTGTTGCCAGTAAATCCGGCTTATTTTCCCATCTCTAAACGCCACTGAAGAATGAAGAACCGATCGCGCCTCGTCAAGTGACAAGGGTAGCAAGCGCCTGGTGATGACTGCATAAAATAACCGCGGCGATAATATTGGTGGTCTCTTTGAATAGAAGTTTTTTTTCGGTTGCTGATTATCTTTTTGATGTTTTTTTTCGTCCGAGTGGACTGCAGAGTTGAACTCTTCCGGGTATCTTTGTGTGTGGTATTAAATGGTATCGATGATTGGATGTGGTTGTGTATCTCTCCTACAAGATCTCGCTGTTGACGCGGATCTCGTGGTTCGTCGTCGTCTTGATGTAAGACTTGGCGGCGTGCCTCGGGACGTAGGGCGTCTTCTTGACGGGCTCGTCGACCATGAGGCGCTCCTGCTCCTCGGGGGCGCCGTTGGAGAAGAGCGAGGAGAGGGAGGAGCTGCGGCTGGTCCTTTTTGAGGTGAAGCTGGCGAAGGAGGAGACGGAGTCGCGAGAGCTGGAGCTGCGGTGGCCCTTCTTGAAGGCACCGCCGAACCAGCTGCTGCGCTTGCTAGTGTTGCTCTTGGGGGAAAACATCTTGATTTTTTGGGGGTTGTTCAACGAAGATTGTCGGAAGTTGAGAAGTTGTTGGTTGCTTGGTTGAAAGCTGAAGAGTGATTGTTGTTGAAAGCTGAAGAGTGATTGTTGAAAGCTGCTGATTGTTGTTGCTGAAGCTGATGATGCGAATGAAAGTCCGGTTGCAGAAGGGCGGGTGAGACTTTGGATTTATAAGACAAGAGAGTCGAAGAAGATCTCGACGGTTGACATACCAAGACACGCGGGAGTGAGTCGAACTGCGGGTTGCCGATTGAACGACAAACGGACACGCAGTCAAAGGAAAGAGGGGAAAAAACTCTAATCCACTCAGGTGGAATGTTCAAAAGTCGACAATACGATTGGGAAGGAAAAGTGGTCTAGTCAGGGCCGGCTTCACGATGGCTACGTCCGCAAGAGGGAAGAGGTGACCGCGGCTTTCCGCAAACAGACGACAGCAAATATCCTGCCCAACTGCCGCCTGTGAGGAGAAGAGGACAGCCACGCACTGCGGCACTGCCAGACGGCGTGAGCATTCCGGTCGGATGGCCCGCAGTGTCCAGTCAGAAAACTCTTCTGACCGAGACATCAACAATGTCCGTTCAACGCCTCGCCAACGCCCTTGCCGTTTGCGAACAAGACTTCTTCGCTCTCTCTTCCCTCTCATCACCTCCGATTCGCTCGCCCACTGAGTAGGCGACCCAAGTATTTGGGTCTCCGCCCATTTGGGGCTTCGGCTGGTGGCCGTGGTGGGCTGTGGAATGCTGCTCTTGGAATGGCCTCCCACTAGACACCAGGCATGTCACTTTCCCGCGTTGAGGCCTCGATGGGCAATTTCCTACCGCGATGATAAATCGGACGGGTGAACAAGCGTGCATACTGACAGGAGCCTGGGCCACTTGGTCCGCGGGCCAGAGCTGTCATTCCCGTGGAGGCGTCCTGCGGACTCGAAGCCAAGTTCTTCGAGGAAAGGCTAGCTACATGTTATTCGCTCTAAACTCGGGAATGGGGAGCACGGGTCATTGTTGGACTCGACGGATGCGGAAGGGCAAAGCCATATCGTGTTAGCTAATCATGGACATAGTCAGATGGAATAGCCCGTCTACGGCCATCGGAACATCCACCGATCGGAATAACCTTGCCTCGCTTGCGCTTTTCCCCGTAGGACTGTGGCCCCCGGGAAGCTGATTAGGCGTCCAAGCTTTCATCCTCCTCATCCACGTCGTCGTCGTGAGAGATGTACGGCACAAACCGGAAGTCCAGGAAGCTGATCCCATTCTCCTGCTCGACCATGAACTGGAGACTCAAAACCCCCTGATCATCGCCCCTGAAGCTGACCTTGCTTGCGATGCGCATCGCCTCGGTGGAATACTTGATCAGATCAAATTTGTAAGACTGCGACCATGCCTCGTGGATCGAAAAAGTCTCAAGTAGCTCGCGTCCTTTGGCGAAGGTCACGCTGGAGCTGCCCATATCGCCGGCGCCGGAAAGGGTTAAGTATGGCGAAGCCCTCGAGGCTGCAATGGTAAGGCGGTTAGGTCCGGTGGGGGCCAGCTCGGCCAGCGCGTCGAGCAGATAGCGCGCCAGCATAATAATCTTGAAAGAAAGGTTGTCCCGATCGAAGGGAATCTCCTCTGGGATTTCCGGCAGATATGCCGTGAGGCTTGCCGTGGTCTTGACGCCCCCTTCCTCAATCACGATGTCAAATTGACCGCCCTCTTCTTTGTATATCAAGCTGCAAGTGCCGCCGATTCCCAGAGCCTGGTTACTAAACGCATCTGGACGGTAATTGCGGATGTTGCTGTGATATGAGTCTTGTTCCGCCCTTTGTGTGCGGGTCGCAATATCGACGGCACCAAATATTTGCAAGGTGTCGAGTAGGGCAGGCAGCGCAATCTGAAAGTTGGGTAAGTTCGGTTGCGAGCTATCGGCACCGTCACCAAGGTTGAGGGAGTACGTGGTAAAGAGCTTCTTGTCGAGGAACGCAGTACCTAGGTTGCGTCAGCTACCAGCTGTTCAAAAATCCCGTCGACGCTGGCCATACCTTGCAAGACCCTCGAAAGGTCAGCCGCAAATCTGATACCGTCCTCCTGTAGCTGGACATGGACTTTGTTGGTGAAATTGATAGTCTTGAGTAGTTGGTAGAGAGGTTTCGTTGAGGACGCTACAGCCCGGAAGATGGGCTCGGGCTGCGCTCCGGCCTGTGATAACGCACCCGACATTGTGTGTAAATTTGCAGGTGGAATCACCCGAATTGTGGAGGCAGTTGATATGGAAGGTCTTTCTTGGTTGTTTCTAAAGTACAAGGCCGCTGCCGAATTGAAATGACTCTTGGGGTATCTTAGACGTAAACTCCGACTGCGCAGAACATGTACACCGTTCCGAATCTGTGCAAGCGTCGTCAGCAAAAAAAAATCACGGCGAGGCATCGGCGGAAACACCCACGCAATGGCAGCAGAAGCAGGAACACCCAGGGCCGGGATGTTGGTGAGGGATCGGTCTGTTTGGCAATTTAGAACAATTTTCTGGGTTCCTGGTAGGAACGGGAAACTTCTTACTCAGAGCAAAGACACCGGTGATCGAGATACCCGCGAGGAGGAGCAGGAAGGCAATGAAGAATTGCGAGTCCTTGGCAACGGCGGGATGGAACGGCGTGCTAGCAGCAGCTTGCCAGATCTGGGGCAGGGAGGAGTCCATCTGCTAGGTGGTCGAGGAGAGGGATTTGTTTGTTCGGTCGGGGATCAATTGGCGTGTCGAGTATCTCGAGAAAGTGGTCGGTCCTTTGCTTGCGCGAAGTTGTTCACTGCCAGTGGTGTTCAGAAGGTGTTGCTGGCGTGCGCAAGCTCACGAAGGTCGCAGCTTCCCCAAACGTGTTCGAAGCTCCAGGCCGACCCACATTGAACTGTGGCCTGAACAGAAAGGGCTTAACGCCATCCCGTCTGCCCCTGCAGAGCACATCCCCCAGCCCCACTCTGCGGACACCGGCCACGGAGAAACATCAGAGCCTAGCGCGATATGTCATCAACCTTCAGGCATCACGACGACATCTATTGACAAGTTTAGTCGATTAAGGCCTGTTAAGGCTCGGTACTTCGGTCGAAATGAAGGAAGAAAGTAAGTCGCATGATGCTTGTTAGATTTATGCTGCGTAAAGTGTCCTAACGCGACGATCCAGACGCGAAGCGCAAAGCCGAGGACGACCCGTCCTCGCCAACCGCGACCAAGCGGGTGAAGCACAATGAGTCGGCAGAGCCAGAAAAGAAGCCGGCAATGAAGCCTATCCCGTTTCCCGAAAAGGTATGTGTTGTACTGGCTTGTGGTCGTGATGCTCCCAGCGCGTCGAGACCTTCACCACAGCCACCCCTCTGCCACGGACCCGCAAAGCTGACCACCCGTCTGCGCAGCCCGCTGTCATCGAAGAGCGTACCGGCGAAATCGAGTTCCGCGTGGTAAACAACGACAACGCGCGCGAATCCCTCATCATCCTCACCGGCCTCAAATGCATCTTCCAAAAACAATTACCAAAAATGCCTAAGGACTATATCGCGCGTCTCGTATACGACCGGACCCACTTATCCATAGCGATCGTCAAGAAGCCCCTCGAAGTCGTCGGCGGCATCACCTACCGCCCTTTCAAAGGCCGCCAGTTCGCCGAAATCGTTTTCTGTGCTATCAGCTCCGATCAGCAGGTCAAGGGTTACGGTGCGCATCTCATGTCCCATCTGAAGGACTACGTCAAGGCCACGAGCGACGTCATGCACTTCCTCACATACGCCGACAACTATGCCATCGGATACTTTAAAAAGCAAGGGTTTACTAAGGAGATCACGCTCGACAAGAGCGTGTGGATGGGATATATCAAGGATTACGAAGGAGGCACAATCATGCAGTGCTCAATGCTGCCGCGCATCAGGTATCTCGAGATGGGTAGGATGCTCTTGAAGCAAAAGGAGTGCGTGCAGGCCAAGATCCGCGCCTATTCCAAATCCCACATCGTCCACGCCCCCCCAAAGGAGTGGAAGGGAGGTGCCAAGCCCATCGACCCCCTCAGCATCGACGCCATCCGCGCCTCCGGCTGGTCTCCCGACATGGACGAGCTCGCCCGCCAGCCCCGCCACGGGCCCAACTACAACCAGCTCCTCCACCTCCTCAACGACCTGCAGAACCACCAGTCCGCCTGGCCCTTCCTCGTGCCCGTCAATAAGGACGACGTGGCCGACTACTACGAGGTTATCAAGGAGCCCATGGACCTCAGCACCATGGAGACGAAGCTCGAGGCCGACCAGTACGCCACTCCCGAGGACTTCATCCGCGACGCCAAGCTCATCTTCGACAATTGCCGCAAGTACAATAACGAGTCCACGCCGTATGCGAAGAGTGCAAACAAGCTGGAGAAGTACATGTGGCAGCAGATCAAGGCTATCCCCGAGTGGTCTCACCTCGAACCGTAGAAAGGCGGGGGAGTTCCACCGCGAAAGAGGTTTAACATGGCACAGGTTGCTTCATGAGTGTAACGAGCACGGGAAGGCGATTCAGGCAAGGGTTATAGGAGTTGGCGTCGGTCTGCTTGGGAATCCTGTTTGAGGAGCCTGCAGGTTTGGTTTTCATGTTTATCCAAGTAGCTTAAGGCGCGTTTGGGGCAGAAAAGGCGTTTACGGGCGATAGGGCGTCCGCATTATTACTGTACGATATGTCCATTACATACGCTTGAAGCTTCGAGGCAAAATATCACGCTTGCTCAAAAAGAAGAGAATAAGCACATCACATCATGTTTGAATTGTTATCAAATTACCGCTTTTGTAGTCAAGGGTACTTCGCTAAACACAAGAGAGCATCTTCGGGAGCAGGCCCTCGAATGCATGTTTCTCGTTTTCTCGTAATCCCTTGTAGTCACTGTTGCAGACCTCGTAAGTCCTCGAAAAGGAAATGAAATACAATCCTTCCAACGCCAGGGGGAATAACCGAGTGATGTTTGTGCAGGGCTTTTCGCAGTTGGTGGGTGATCTCCCCTATGACCAGAAATCTCGAAACATATCTAGTGTAAGGTAGTATCTGGTCTGCTCCTTTTGAAAGAGTCCCAGAAAGAGAACCCCGAATGATGTTCAGGTGTTCAGTAGCCAGATTCGAGTTCGGGCTACGTCAAAGATTCCTTTGGCGGTCCTGGAGTTGCTGAAAAGCCGATTGAAGTCTCTCCAAGCGTTCTTCAAAGCCGCTTCGTGTGACCAAAGGCGGATAGGTAAGTGGGAGTGGGAAGTCGGCTGTGATGTTTTCTGTGTATTGTGCGAGCTCCCGTGGTGTCATTGGGGAATTTGGGGTATTTTGTTGTAGAATGGGAGTGAGGCCCAGGACTTCCTAAGCGCCTGGAGCCTGCGCTGCGCGATGCAATGGTGGGGCGGGTGCACTATCGCCAACCGGAAGACGAAGTCCTGAATGAGTTCGTCGCCAACTTGCAATACCGCCAATGTGGTGTTCGTCGGTGCCTCTGCGCTCTCTGGCATGAGGTGGCGGAGACACATCATCCTCACCGCTGGGATTTTGCGACTCGAGAGTACGGCGGATTATGTCGTGAAGGAAATCGGGGATCGCTTGCCACTGTCCAGCTCGGGCAGCGGTCAGCATTCCAGGAGGAAAGGGCGAAAGCGTCGGGGCAGCGTCGGCAACTCCCCGCTGTGCAATTTGGCTGCTGCTGATGAACGGCAATTCGCCGCTCTCGATAACGTTCTTTAGCCACTGCTCCCATTCCTCATCGAGAACGGTAGACATATCTCCAGCTTCCCGCTGCGCTGCCCTCTCCCTTAGTCTTTGATTCAGGGCCTCACCAACACTGTGGAGCTCCTCGTCGCTTTCTTCGCCATCCATGTCCTCATCGCCGGGGTCCGTCGCATCGTCCGTCTCTACTGACTGTGATCTAGCATTGCGGCTGGGTACGGGTGGGCGATCCTCTGGTTCGACCCAGTCCGGAAACCCGTCACCAGCGGTATCGCGAATGGTAATGCCCTGCTCCTTCTCGAAGCGCTCCTTGGCCCATTTTGTGCCCTCCCACTTTGTCAAGCCTGCAATCTCGTTGTGAGTCAGGCGAAGGTTGTCAAAAGCTCGAAACAGTCGACGGTGCCAGGTCCAGCGGCTCAGGCGAATGCGGTGGATGGGGTTGCAGTAGTCGAGCCCTGGGTACTTTGCTTCTTGGGTGTCGAGGTGACCGTAGAATGAGTGGACCTCTTGACGAACCTCCAGGATGAGGCTGCGCTGCAAAAGGGCATGGAAGTTCTGGGGATCGCTCGCGCGTGGCTTCGGAAACATGTGCTCGTAAACGAGCTGGTCGACTGGGCGTCCCTTCATCTTGAGGTTGCGCCGGCTATGGCGAGAGGAGGACCGTAGTTTTATGGCTGAAATCGGGGCGCAGGGTGTAAGGGCGACAGAGCTTGGTGGAAATCTTAGGAATGAGTCGTTGATACGGTCTGTATTGACGTCTTGTCGTCTTGTCGTCGTAAACTGGCGCGAAGACGCAGAGTATGATTGTAGCAGGACGCAAAAACTTTCGGTTGGGAACTGCAGGGCGTAAAACGGTTTTGATTCCCTGTTGTCGTCGGTCCGGTCGTGCGTCAGGTCGTGTGAGGAGGGGGTTCGGGAGGGAGCTAGGGTCGCAGCGGCGTCGCTAGGTCGTCCGAAGAAGGAGGTTTTGAAAGACAAGAACGGTATCGGGTGTTTGGGCGGTCCTTTGTTGGGTTTTGTGCGCACGGGTTCTGTAGAGTTGAAGGCCAACAATGTGGTTGAAGAGGTGTCGGTGGAGGAGAATTGCGTGAAAAGGTAAGAGTGTGGCCGGGGAGAAGTCGGAAGGCAACGGCGAGAGGCGGGTGGGAGGCGTGTTGCGTGAGTTGCGGGCTGAGTTGGGAGCGAAGACGGGGATGAGGATGCAGGGCGTGGATGCGGTTCAGGTATTGAATGTTGGACGCCGGACACAGGGCACCGGGCACTGAAGACTTGATCGTGGGCCTGTCGGGTCACTGGTGGGACGCAGTCGTGGGACGTGAAAGTGGACGGCCTGGAAGACGTGGACGTGGAACGGGGATTCGGGCGTGGATTGCCTTAAGGACTGGCCACCGTAAACACACAACGACCAGGATTTGGTGGCCGGGGCTGGGAATGCCTTAGCTGACAAAAATAAAACAGCGAGCACCGCCCACCACCATCAAGACAAGACAGCAAGGTCCCGAAAAGTACGAGGGAAAAAAAAAAGGGAAAGATACCAGCACCTTCTACCTTACGGAAGTACTCTCTTCATTCACCATATGTAGTATCACAATGATATACAGGTTGAAGGTGCCACTGATGGATTCTCGCGGTAAGGTACCTTGGTATCTCCCTATCACTGGGCCGCACCAGTAAGGCAGGCAGCCAGGCAGTTCAGATTGCCAATTGGTGGTGGTGCCTGCCTTCCGTGCCTCTCGAACCAGGTGGCTTCCTGCCTTGGCCGTATCGGCTGGTCTGCCTAAGAAAAAGTCAAAAGGACCATCATCATCACCAACAAGGCCTCTACGCACGTTCCTGAATCACTACTCCTCATTCCCAAATGCTCCCCCAACCGGCGGCTCCATGGATTGAGTTTCCCGTCTACGAACACTGGACTGTCGGGAAGGTTCACACCTTCCTCCTATGCACCTCAGTAGAGGCAACTATCGCGGCATGTCGCCCCGCACTCT